AGACTAAAGGAAGAAATGAAAAGAAACTCTATGAGCTGATGTCTGGGCATTTACACTATTGCCCCTCCAAGAACCACATAGGCCTAGAGGTGAGTAGGGGTTGGGTAGAGAATGTTACTTTGTTCTTGCCCACCCACAAGATTTTCTCCATTATGCTTTAATATGAAACCTCTATAATCCTACTATATATTAAAAGACTGTTGTTGTGAGAACATAAAAATGTAACATAGTAAAAGCTCCTAACACTGAATCTGTCATGTGGTAGGAGCTGGTTAAAAGCTTGATCAGACTTGCAGACACAGCCTTCTCTGCAAACTTGGAGAGAAGAACCTGGCTCCCTGCTCTCTGCAGTTTTGCCTGTGGGCTCACTAAAGAGCCGTCGCTCCCGAGCTCCCAGATTATGCCTCCAGGGACTGTGATTCACACCAGGGTTGGGTTCTAATGTGACTCCTGGATGTCAAGATGGGAACTCTGGAATGATAGGTTGCAAAGAGTGTCACAGTTGGAAAAAGGTTTGCACGTCTCTTTGCTACACATTCTGGACACACACTGACTTAATTCCCTGTTCTCCCTTGTCATCTATTTCTTTGATGTTCAGTGCATGAAATTTAGGATAAACCAAAACTCTGGGGTCACTCTAAGGAGGGCAGATTCCTGGAGTCCTTCTCTTGAGAACATAATCTCTTTGTTCTATTTTCCCTTCATTCTCTCCCATATACTGCTGTTTTATTTCCTTCCCTCCACTGTCTTATCACTTTCCATTTACAGGTTTCCCCCATTATCCGAGAGTAAAGGGCTCCTATGAAACCTTTCCTAAACTGAAAAGATACAAAGAGAAGAAGCAATTAGTCTTTTTTTGGTAAAAGCAAAAATCCTCTTTGGATTTCTTTCTGTTAGTGAAAGTAGATACAATCATCTCTCCATATCCCCTGTTTTGCATCCTTGGATTCAACCAACCACAGACTGAATTTCAAATTTTGATCCGTAATTGGTTGAAATCACGGATGCGGAACTAGGCTATACTTGGAGGGCAACTGCACTACACCATTTTATATGAGGAACTTGAGGATGGATGGATTTTGGTATCCATGGGGGTCTTGGAACCAAGACGACTGTACTAATGTATGTCTTCCCTAAAAGTGAAGGGGTGTAAAGTGAACTTTTGAAAAGTGAGGGATACCTATACCCCAAAATCAGATTTACACTTACTCAATTGGTTTTCACTATATTTTACCTTTCATTGTCTCCCCACCATCTCCTGCCTGATTCTTAGAAACAAAGAATAAAGACAGTCTCACCACTACTACCATCAACACGAAAACAACCAAAGAACGCACCACCCATTTAACCAAGCCAGAGGTTTGGCAAACCTTTAATCACATGCTTTGTGTTAAAACTTTTCTTATAAGTAACTTTTCCCCCCATGACTTTGATGGCTTTGGCTAGAGTTTGAAAGCTGGATGTGAGGGAATTGTGACCCAGGCCTGGGACTTAGGGCTGTGTCAGGGGCCCCTTCTCCTCTCCCGCTGTTCTCCCCTGGTGCCTTCCTTTTGGCACTCCTTTCTCTCTCTCTTTCCTCATTTATTTTTACCTCCCCACCCCTGCTTTCTTTCCTCAATTTCCATCCCTCAGAGCTTCCATCCCTAATTGGGGCCTGAGTCTAACCTCCTACCAAGACCACCTGTGACAAATTGTCCCCAATTCTGATGGTGCCTGATTAGAGGAGCCTCCCTGACACAACATGAATTTGGCAAAGGCATCTTCTAGTCCAGCGATCACTGACTGCTCAGCTAGCACACAGTTGCTAGGAGCCACCCTCTCCTTCCCCAGCTTTCCCTAGGTCCTGGCAAGCAAATGATTCAATGGTTAGTGGCTACCCAGCAGGCTGCTGAGGGCTCACACAGTTTCAAAAGGTATAGATTTTCTCTCCTACCTGGACACGTTCTCTATTTTAATCCACAATTGCTGTTATCTTTCTTTTGCTTCTCCAGAATTAATTTCCAAATCTAAACATTTTTCTTGGCTGTCCTGTTATTTAGCCTCTGTTGGTTTATTATTTAGATATAAACATTCTTCTTAAAACATAGAAAAAAGAGAAGTGCAAGTGTGCTTACCTGGTGCATCAGATAAAACTCACCCAGTTAATTCAGTTATTTGGCACAAAGGAGGTTCCTATCTCCTTTAGTTTTCCATTCCCTCTAGGATGCTAATTGTTTTTCTTTTGACAGTCTTGTAATTTTGGCCTGAAGTCTAAAATCTGGCCTGCTGGGCTATGTGTCAGATTTGTAAATTAGATGACATCTGTTTTGAATTTTATCATCTTTAATTTTCTTTCAAGCTCACTTCTCTTATTCATTTCCTCTTCAATTGTAAGGATCAGACTTTGCTGGATGCTTTAGACAGAAGTGTTGACCTTTCTGCTTTAGGGAGCACAGATTAAAATTACTGAAGCTAAATGATCACAATGAAGGCTATTCAGAGAAAAGATGTTGGGAGAGAGGACTTAGCAACCATCCCAGAAAGGATGAGCAGCTGATACAAAAGGCTAGCTGTCCACACCAGCCTTTTTAGGTTCCCACCGAATAATTACAATCGATTAGAAAGAGATTGACAGTGAGGGTTGAAATGGGTGAAATATTTTGAATTGAGAGAGCCTGAGGTGGTGGCGGTGGTGGTGGTACGTGAGGGTAGTGGTGACATTTTATCTTTTTACACTTAATTTATTTCTCAGAAAAATAATAAAAGGAGGAGAGATGCATTTTCCCAATGCAGATCCTATTTTGACAATGAGACTTTATTTTTTTTCTCGTATCTACACATCTCCTAAATTCTTCTCTTGGGGAAATTGTTTACTGCTAACTGAATTGGGCCAACTTATTAAGAATCACTTTTGCTGTCAGAATGCCTAATGTAACATCGTTGTATAACATGTTTTTCTTTTATATAAACCTTTTACACACATGTAATCTCACAGACAGTCAACTGACCTCCTGCAGCTTTGCATGTTTAGTGGCAAGAGATAACAGACAGACTGCTGGCCAGGATACAGGCCTGAGCTCTCACCTCTGATGCACACACTGGTCATCACTGGAAGAAGAAATAAGCAAGCTGGCTGTGTGCAGAATACAAAGTGGCTCCCTTGAACCCCAGCTGTAGAATTTCTAGGCTGAATTTCTGAAACCACATCATGAAAGTTGGCTGGCAATGCCTTTGAGCTTGCACAGAGATGATAAATCCCTTCATGATGTTGGCTTTGGACTTCTTGGATGATGCCATGTATAGGCTGTTGTCAGGCAGCTCATGAGTCTGTGAAGATGCTGTTTTTGAACGGGACATGTATATAGCAATAGTCCTCAACTAGGGGTGATTTTTGTCTCTAAGGGGACATTTAACAATATCTGGAGACATTTTTGGTCATCACAACTGAGGGGGAGGGTTGCTACTAGCATCTAGTGGGTAGAGGCCAGGGAAGCTGGTAAATATTCTAGAATGCACAGAACAGCCCCACAACCAAGAATTATCTAGCCCAAATTTCAGTAGTACCAAAGTTATAAACCCTGGTATATATATCTACACCTATATTGAACCAGGCAACAACATATTTTTGTATGCTCAATCAAAACTACAGTGTTGAGAGAAAAGAGCACTTGCCATCTGTCTTCCTCAGATGAATAGCTATTGTTGACTCTGAAGACCATCTTGGCCAGAAAATATTCTCTGTGTGGGATGAGCCAAGAGGCCCTCCCAAATGGGCTCCCCTCCTGTCTTTTCTTGGTTATCAGCATCCTCTCCCCTGTGTATGCAGTCACTCAAGCTAGATAGCTCTGGGTTTTACTCACCCTCCTTCCTTTTTCCCCACTCCACCTCTCACCAGTAATCGTTTCTTTATAATTCCAAGCTAGCTCACTATAACGATCTGTCCTGATTTCTTAGGCTCCCTGCTGCTGACTTAGCCTAGGCCTCCCTCACAATGGAGGGAGCCTATTGTCAAGGCTTCAACAACAGCATCCTGGCCACTCTCTCTCTTGCCAGCCGGCAGCTCCAGCCAAATCCATTCAGGGCTCCACTCGTTAGCCACTTTCTCATCCTTTAGTCCTTTACTAGAGAAGTATTTATTGAGTGCCCACTATCAGCTGATTACTGTGCTAGAAGCTGTGTTCATTCCCTGAATTAAAATCTTTCCAAGCTTCCATGTTGCTTACAGGACAAACTCCTTGCTTCTCTGAGAACCTACCTCTGACCTAACTTTTCTGTTTACTCTCCCACCCTCCACTGATGTATTCACTCCATATGTGTTGAACCAACTGTTTTTCCTTAGTCTGGATCACACACTCTTAAGTTCTTTCATCTTTGCACGTGTGGGGCGTCCTTTCTATTTCAGGTATCCTTTCAACCCTTATCTGTATAACTTTCATTCATTCTGTACAACTTAATCTGGTACCTATGCAGATGCCTGGCACATGGAAGCTACTCAATAAACACGGAATGAACTTAAATTTCACCTTCCTTGTGAGACATTCTTGGGTTCCCTGGCTGTCCATCTCTCACGCTCCACAGTCTGCTGTACACACTGCCACTAAAACCCTGGCTCATGCTTTGACTGCAAGCCCCTTGAGGAATGGCATTTTATGTCTTATGTTTTGTTTTATGTCTCTTGGGACCCCCAGGCTCTGTGCCATGCTGAATCTAAAGTGAACCCTTGGGACTAAATACTCACTATTTTGTCAAGATGGCTTTTCATGTTTTTGGAATCCTGTTTTAGACCGGAAATGATATGCATCATTTGTAATCCCCTCAAACTCAACAAAATTTGATGCTAGTATCAAATGGGCCCTGTCCCTTGTCCACAACTGAATACATTCCAATGCATAGGATTTGAAATTTGAGGCCATCCTTTTTTTTTTTAATTGAAGTATAGTTGATTTACAATGTTGTGTTAATTTCTGGTGTACAGCATAGTAATTCAGTTATACATATATATACTTCCTCATATTCTTTTTTAAAACATGAAATGCTCCACAATTTGCATGTCATCCTTGTGCAGGGGCCACGCTAATCTCTGCATTGTTCCAATTTCAGTGTATGTGCTGCTAAAGTGAGCACTTGAGGCCATCTTTTATCCCTTAGTTACGTGTAACCCTGGGAAGAGATTTAACCAGTCTCTGAGCTTCTGTATCTTCTGTAAAAAAGGAATAATGATAACTGCCCTTCTTAAATTGTAGGGCAATCATGAGGATCAAATGAGGGTATGAATCTGAAAATACTTTGTAACTTCTAAAGGTCATAAAACTTTTCAAGTGCCTCCCTATTCAATACACAGCACAACAAAGTAAAACCTGTCCCTCAAGCTTCCATGATCTTCTTGATTTTTCTCCACAAACTTCTTGTAAGGGCCAGATTTGCTTTTGTATCCACTCTCTCCCTTCAGTCCCAGGCATCCTGTTTTATGCCCCGCCATACCACTGGCAGCTCACTCACCACAATTATCAATAATTTTCTAGTTGCCAATATTTGTGGACACTTTTCTGTCCTTCCTTCATTTGACCTGACTCCAGTTTGCCTCCACTTGCAATGTTCCCTGTACCAGGGCCAGAGTGAGCTTCCTAAAACATGAATTCTGGTCATATCCTGCCATGACTCCTCACAGTTTACAGGATAAACTTCAGACTCCTTAAGAAGGTATGCCATGTCCTTCATCATCTGGTCCCTGCCTACCACTCCATCAGTATTACCTCATGTTGCTCTTCTTGTTAACACACACGCTAGCCAGACAAAATGACTTCTGTTTCCAGAAAGTGCCATTCTCTTTTACATACTGCCCCAAAGCTAGCCTGGTGCAATCTGGCCATCTTTCAAGACTTGGTTCAAAATGTCATCTCTTCTAGGAAGCATTCCCTGATCTCAGCTTTCCACTCCTCTCCATTCCATGCAGAAGTTAGATACACCATCTCTGTGTTCCAAACTCCTTGACACCATCATAATTAGCGTAACTTTCCCACTGTTCTCTAATTACCCATTTAACATTTATTTCCTCACTAGACAATGAGCTTTTTGGGTAAAGGAACATGTTTTATTTCTCTATATGTCTAGCTTTTAGGCAGAGTTCCTGGTATAGAGAAGGCAATTGTTAAATGCTTGTTGAATAAATAAATGAGTTCTATAAAAATTATTATTTGTACTATAGTCTTTTTCCTTTGCCATATTTTCTGCACGTTTTAGAATTTTTTTTGTTACATTCTGGTTTTTACAGATTTAGAAAAAATTCTAGCAAGTATATAATTTATTCAGAAGTTACTCTATATTGAGATAGTGAGTTTGGCTTTCTTTGGGAACTTTTATGCCCACAAAAGAAAGCATAGCCTTTTGTGCTGCACCTCCATAGGTTCACAAGAGATCCCTGAGGTACCCAGGAATTCCTGCTCACCTGTCACTTCTGGCCTTGGCGGTTTCCAGTTGCCGGGTCAGGAGCTTGGCGATGGCAGTGAAGCTGTTGCTCATGCGGAAGATGTCTCTGCTCTGAGGGCCCAGGATGGAGGAGAAGGTGTCTGTGATGCTTTTAATCTCCAGCAGGAGAATGTGGTGGAATGAGTGCTCCATGTTGGCCAGCTGACTCACCAGGAAAGGCAGGCAGCTTCTGGCTCTCTCCTGCCAAGAACAATGAAGAGCAGGTACAAATGTTGCTGGTAATAGAAACTGGTACAGCCACTATAGAAAATAGTATGGAGGTTCCTCCAAAAATAGAACTACCATGTGATCCAGCAATCCCACTTCTGGGAATCAATCTAAAAGAAACAAAATCATTGTCTCAAAGAGATATCTGCACTACTATGTTCAAAGCAGCATTATTCACAATAGCCAAGACATGGAAATAACCCAAGTGTCCACTGACAGGTAAATGCATGAAGAAAATGTGGTGTATATATATATACAAAATGAAAAATTATTCAGCCAAAAAAAGGAAATCCTGCCATTTTTGACAACATGGATGAATCTGGAGGGCATTATGCTAAGTGAAACAAGCCAGGGAAAGACAAATACTTCATAGTATCTCTTATAAGTGGAATCTTAAAAAAAAAAAAGTCAAACCCATAGAAACAGAGACTACAAAAGTGGTTGCCAAGGGCTGGTGCGTGGGGGGAAAATAAATGGTATAAGCTTTCAGTTATAAGATAAATAATGTCTAAGATCTAGTATTTGGCGTGGTGACCATAGTTGATAACACTCTATTGGGTAATTGAAATTTGCTAAAAGATGTGGGGTAATGGGTGTGTTAATTAACTTGATGGGGGGAATTCTTTCACAGGGTATATGTATATCAAATCATTGTGTTATATACTTCAAATATTTTATAATTTTATTTGTCAATTATATTTCAATAAAGCTGGAGGGTGAACAATAAAGAAATAAGGTCTATAGTTTTAAAGAAAATCAGAGTCCTGGGACCTGCAGATGACAATTCTATGGGGAGTTTACTTAGAGAGCTAGCTGAAGCTCAACAATAAGTTTCATTCATAATGCCTCTCAATTGGCTTCTTTGAGGTTTTAATTTTTTTCCTGATTTCCAGGACAATTTTTTAAAAAAATAAAAACTTTTTCCTGTTACTCTTTACTTAAAAATATGTAGAGAGTCTCATGAGTCTGTCTTGCCACGTCCAAATCTCTCAGCCACCATTAATGATCTGACCCCACACATCCATCCTTCCCATCTCTGGCCAGGCCTCCAAGCCTGTGACTCACTAACTCCACGTGCACAGGGGAAGCATGGTCAATGGCACCCTCGATCCATCTGTCTGTCAGATGAAGCCATGTATCACACTGGTTTAGCTCCTCACTCATTTGTTCACTTTAAGCATCTGTCAACATGTTGCATACTTTATGTGCCTGGTTGAATGAGTAGATTCTATTACCTAGCTTTAATCAGGTTAACTCTCACAATTGACTTAAATAAGTTCCTTCAAAGAAACTGAAGATGAAGAACAGTATGAGTAACTCAGGCGTGAGTGAATAACAAGAAAATGGCTAAGCTGACGTGTCTTCTATAGCTATTAGAACTCCTCATCAGCCATATTATGAGGTGACGTGATTTAATCCAACACTAGAAGTTGGCCAAAAAATTTCAAAATCATCAAGAAGGTTATTTGAAATGCTGATTTGTGCCCAATATAAATAATGATATACCACTAACAAATAAATAAAAATAATTTAAAATCTGCTTATTTCATCCTCAACTGCTCTTTTAAAATCTTATTTTTTATGTATTTAAAAATTTTCATGTCAGTGTAATAGAAAATATGTATAATTATAAGTGAATATATATTGGAGGGTATGCTCAAAATCCTTTTAAGTGATAAATGTACAGGTCTAAATTACTCTTCTAGCTAGGAATTCCCTTTTACCCTTGGTTCTAGCACTTGGAACCTTCATTTCTTTCGAGATGTAAGTCCTGTCCTGTCTCCTCCATGAAGCTGTTCCCAGTGATCCTTTCTGCCTTCTGCCTGAATTTTCACTGCATTATAGACTCTTTTTTAAAATCTTGTTTAGTACTTGATTGTATCTGATCCCTCTGTTTACTCATGTTTTTATTCAATCACCAAACCGATACTGCATGACTATAATACACCTGTGTTAGATGCTAGACGACAAAGGTGAATGAGAAATGTTCCCTGCCTTTTAAGGGTCCCACAATCACCCCTTCTATTTGTAATTCCCTAATGGTTACATGTACCACTCAAGTCTCCTAAAAGGGCTACTTTTCATACATCAATTGTCAGCCTGGCACAGAACTGTCTATAGCATCTACACCTGGTGTATATGTCTCAATTCACTGATTTAGGCAAACCTTATATACCAAGATATGAGTTTACAAATAAAGCATGTAGCTGCAAAGGAATTCTGTGCCTTATAAGAAATGTTTATTGCAGAACAGATTTAAGTAGTGAACTTCCCTAGTCTTTAATACTCATCTTAGTTTTCAAAGATTCCTTGCACAATTGCACTGGAACTCATCTCTTGGGGAAGGGGGTGCATCTGCTAATCAATCCCTTAATAACTATTTGTCAAGAACCCCTAGGGCTCAATATTCTGTCTGGGTAATGTGGGACTGAGGCTCATGCTTCTGTGAGCAGGACAGCTAATTGAAGAGATATTTATTCATTGAAGGATAACAATATTAGATGAATGAAAAATAAACACCATTGGAACAAGTTCCTGATAGCCTATTTTGTACTTTGGTTCATGTAACTGCCAGGTTGCAGAAGGACAGAAGTGCTTTTGAGTTTAACTCTTTTTCAACATAGATGCTTTGATTCATGCAAGGGCTCTGTATGTGACGGGGATGTTTTTCCACACCTCATTTAAAGGCAAAAGCTGGTTATGGGGGTCCGTACCATGTGCCAGGCACTGTTTTAGAAGTTAGGAAACACAGCATTGAAGAAAAAGGGTAAAAATCTTTGCCATGATAATGAGGGAGACATACAATAAACACAATGCCTATGTAAAATATGCAGTGTGTTGGATGGAGAAATGTGCCCAAAGGATAATGAAGCAGAATGGGGAGACCCACAGAGAGGGGTTAATGTTGAATTGTGTAGTCAGGTCAGAGTTCACAGAGAATACATTTGAATTCAACAAGGTTTTAGAATCCAAACCTAATATTCTCAGTAACTGCAGAAAACAATTACAATAAAACGTGTCCTGATTGATACACGGAAGTCGGAAGAGATAAGAGCTGAGACACAGGAGCTGTGACATTTTACTACAGGGAATGCAATTTCAGATTTCAAGTAACATCCTCCATTTTAGATTCAGATTCTACTTCGGCAATTAAAAAAAAATCCAGTCCACAAACATTTCATTTGCTTATTTAAAAAGTATCCCTATGGTTTCATTAAGAATTCTTCTCACTATAAAAATTAGCAAGCACTTTCTTGAAAGCATACATCTTCCTGAAGTGAGGATGGCTGTGTAGGTATTGCTGAAATCAACACAATTCTGGATGATCTTCTGGCAGCCAAACTGAGCTGAAGGGAAAATTAATCACACCACGGGAACAAGAAAAGTTATAACTGCTCTGAAACTAACATATGAAACCAAGCCAACCTCAC